AAATGTGCTCAGAAAAATAAATGTATTTTAAGTATTCAAAGACAGATGACTTGAGCAGGTAGGACGTTCTATTTACTCCAGATGATATCACAATAGTTACTCAACTTCCCTGATAAAATGGGCTGTATGTGGACACAGCACATATGTTCACTACCCAATTTTTGGCTAAAATATTTAAAAATATAAAACTTTTTTTTTTTTTTTTTGCCAAAGTTGCATGACTGAGTAAACCATTATGGATTATTTATTTATATATTTATTTAAACTTTTATTGAATCATAATTGATTATACATATTTTGGGGGCTCAATGTTGACATGTTGATCAAATCAATATTACTAGTATAGATATTGTTACAAATTATACTTATTCTTTATGCCCCTTGTCCAATCTCTCCCTATCCCTTTCTCCCTCCCCGCTTCTACCACTGATAACCCTAGATTTCTCTCTTCCTTTGAAAGGGTAATGGTTACTCTGTTGATTTGTTCCCTAGATGATCTGACCAATACTGAGAGGTGTGTTCAGGTCCCCCAATATTATCATAGAGCAGATGCTTCTTCTGTCACTCTGGAATGGGCTTTGTGGAGAGAAACATCCTCTTCCTTTCTTTGGTCTCAGATGGTGGCTCTCCTTTTGTCAATGCACTCCAGTGGCTGGTGGACCATCTGCATGGTGGTTGTGATGTCTAGCCACATTTGTGGCAGCAGTGGTTATTGTGGTGGCTGTGGTGGGCCACCCACATGGAAGTGATGTTTTTGGCATGTTCCTCGGAGCTGGCAGTGTGCCTGGTTGGGGGGTGGTGGGGTCTGGTCCCCAGCTCTATGCCTCAGGCCCCCGGGTGAGCCCTGAGGTGCTGGCAGTATGCCTGGTTGTGAGAGGAGGAGTCAGAGCAAGTTTTCAACCACAACCAAAATGATGTAACTATGCAGAAAGTCTATGGATAGTAAAGTAATTTACGGCAGAAACCTGGAATTCAAGAAGTGTTAAATGGTTGAGGTTTCTTAGTGCCTTTGGACTTTGCTCCTTTCTCCCTCATCTGCTTGTAGAACCTACCATGAGGAAGGATTCTCAGTCTAGCAGGAAAGGATCCTGCTATTTAGGAGTGGAAAAAACATTGTTCAAGCAGGCATGTCTGTTTCAAATTCTATGTGGAACAAGATGATGGGATAAATAAATACACAAAAATTCAGGATGAGAAAAAAAAAACCTGGGATGTAATTTCGTAGAGAAGTTTGAATCTCTGCTAAATGAAGTCTGGCTACCTAGATATACTCTTATCAGTTCAAGAGAGGTGAAAATGAAAAGATAAAATGAACAGCAGCTGTGGACGGCAGGAGCACAACCAATAAAAGTTCTTCTACTTGTTCCCCCTTCACTCTCCTGCGTCCCTTTTGCCTTTATTAATTCTTAATGTTCCTTTCTTTTTCAGAGAGGCTTTATCTCAGTGTCCTTGCATGACAGAGTAACAAATCATATATCATATGATCTGGGCTGGAACATGCTTAATCTGTAGGAAGAAATATGCAGCTCCTTAAACTACTGAATGAGCAGTACTGTAAACACAAATAATAAGACATGGAGAATACTTGCCTCCGTGTGCAAAGGGTTTATTATTGGATTCATCCGATCCAGGCCCCAGCCCATCAACAGGAGACTCTTTTCAAAGAGTCAGTCTGGCAAAAATACTTTTCCCTGGCTTAAGAAAAAAAAAAAAATCCTTCACTAGTTATCTGTTACTTGCAAGGTACAATTCAAACCATTTAAAAGGGCAAAACTCTAGGACAGTACACATAAAGCCTTAAAAGTGCTCCCCAATCACAATGCCTTTTCTAAGAAAATAAAGCTCAGATCTTAATGATTTTCAAAGCCAGGTACTTCAAGAGAAACCAGTCCTGTTCCCCAGACCATCTAGAGGGGAAAATCACCTTTGGCTCCGCAGCCAGATATTCCTAGCTCAGATGGTTGGGTGGTTGAACGTGAGAGGAAGTACACCCCTCTGCCATGGTTCCATAAGGCCCTTGTCTTCTATTATACTGAACTGTAATTGCCAGATTCCTTGCCTGTATTTCTCCTCTACACCAAAAGCTCTATGAACATAGGGACTGAGTATTACCAAGATCTGGCACAGTGCCTCGTATCAGACACTCAATTAAGGATTTGTTAAATGAATGGATATGAAACCATCAAAACCTGGAGACACAATGCAGAGTAGCAGAAAAAGAAATAAATATCTTGGTTCTCAAATTTATTACTAAACTGTCATCATGACTCCAAGTCAAAAACTCTTGGATTTTTCTCCCTGATAAGCGAAAAGGTGAGATCAGATTGCTATGGGTTCCTCTAGCATGACAATTCTATGTACATATGTACAAAGCATGTTTAATAGTGTAAGACTGACGGTTGAATAAACACACCAGAATTCATAACTGCAAATAAACATTAGCCCCTTTTAAGGTAGGTACTTTGAAAAGTTAACTACTCATTCATCTAGGGAAACAAATTTGGAATCTTTTTGTTTCTAATTTAATGCAAAACCAAATGGCTTAAAAAATTTACAAAAGCAACATATATTTACCACTAAAAATAAGTCATAAATCATAAAGGAAGAATGGACTCATCCACAGTTGGGTAAGGACAACCAGTCTGAGTATAAATCTTTCCAAGTTCTCTCACTTATAAACATATTCTTTTATGAGGGTACTTCAAAGTTTATGGAAAGATTCATATTATCTTTTAACTTTATTTTTCCACAAACTTTATGAAGTAGCCTTGTATGTTTACATTTTTTTCCTTTATAAAACCAAGATTATTCTGCACTAGTAACCTGTTTTATTTACTTAATGCAGTATGGATATCTCTCCACATACTTTGCAAGCACAGTAATCTGTAGGATGGCAATATTAATTTATTTAACCAATGACCCACTGCTGGATATTTAGGTTATCTGTCACTATTATAAAAAATGCTGCACTAAATGCTGCACGGTAGTTAAAATTTTGTGCACACTTAATCATGTTCTCAGAATAAATTTCCACAAGTAAATTTTTTGGAGCAAGGCTGCATTTTTAACTCAGTTGATGGTTTAATGCAGTTTTTTCCTCTTTGGTAGATTTCCATCCTTTTGATAGTAGATATATAATCACTGGAAGCAGCCAACAGTCACTGGGGATTAAGTCTGCTGATTAAAGTGAGAGATCAAGCTAGGCAATACTATTTTTGGTTGAAAGCCTCTGACTACATAGCAATGGGAATAGTTTTCACACAGATTCAAAGTGACTTTGAAGAAAATTACAATAGGAGTTCCAAAACTGTTGTGGGCAATTGGTTAATTATCAAACTAAGCATATTCCCAAAGAGACAACTATGAAGGGGAAGAACAGAGCTAGGTAATGATGCTTTCTTGGGGTTCATAATGTTAGTCGTATCTCATTCACACACAGAAATTATCAGCATTTGAGTCAATCAATTCATTTAAAATAGATGTACACCTAAAACTTTAATATTTGCAATACTTTTTCAGTATGACATTCTCATAAACACTTATTTACCTCTCAAATGGTATTTCACATACATTACCTTTTAAATTTTCACACTACCATCTAAAATATATTATTCTCCCCATTTTATAGAAGAGGAAATGGAGACTTAGAGAAGGTAAGTGATTTGCCCAAGGTAACACAGCTGATAAAAGGCACAGCAAGATGCCAATACAGATCTATTTTGCTTCAAACACCACGTTCCTTTCATTTTCTGACCCACCATGTAGCACCTTTGAATAATTCTTAAATATATCATGATAGGGTCATTCAATTCTTAACTGCTATGCTTAAAATTTCTTAATGACTCTTATCACTACCAGTGAATAATACTATTTATTTAATCTGGCAGTGAACTGAACAAAACTGGAGGTACTGCTCATGAATAGTGTCATTTATATTCTTGAGAAAAACTGGAAGTAACTACAAAAAATCATTTATTCAATTTGATTGATGTAAATATTGATACTAGACCTTACATTTAAAAAGACATGTCTGGAAAGGGAGTCACATTTTAACAATAACCATATTAAAAAGGAAAAAAATTAGAGCAGTAAGTTAAATAATAGGCTAATAAAACTTGGAGGAAACAGCCCAGTGTTTTCTTTTAAACCCTGAAGGACATCAAACATATGTTATGTTGCATAAAGAGTCATTTCAAGAAAAGACTATTAACAATCAAAAAGTAGAGTCAGCACTAAGAATTTCAATGATATCCAACTCAAACATGCATAGGGAGAGTAAATTATTTTATTAAATCATGCACATCACGTGTGTTAGTGCAAATAGTTTAATCTGTACTCCAGAAATTCTATTGTATTTTATATCTTTACAAAATAGATTTAAAACAATTATTTACTTTAAAAAATGTAATTCTGAAGTTAAGCATTTCAGAACAATATTTGCAATAACCTATATACAAGAGGTACTGGGTACCACTGGCATATTAGCATTCTGTGGTAGAGTGGCTTCCTGCAACAGAAAATGATGAAATGAACTATATGACAGTATTTTCTACAAGTCATTTGTGACTAATTCCTCCATAAATCTAGTGATCCTCCCAACAGCAACCCAAATAGCTTAAAACATAACCTTTAAAGTATAAAGAATGACTGCCAAACATTACAAGGCAAATTATACCCTAAACTCCTATTTCAATATCTGGCAAGATCTGTGGATTGCCACAGAACATTCAAGCCAATTCACTGACATTACCTCCCAGTCTTCACTGACTGAAAATTTTAACTGTGCGATACTTTAGGATATTCTATGACCTAAATAAATTTCATTGACATAACTATGGTGCTGCACAAAACCATAGCTAAACTTTCACTTCTGTGTTTTAAATTTATAACATCAAGCAATGTTTAGGTGCTTCACTGTGCATGGAACAGTATTAATCTTAGGAACAGTGCTTCTCATTAACAGAAAGTCCCAATTAACAACAATAAAAAGAAAATAACCATTTGAATACCCAACCAGGAAATCTGTTGGTAGGTAACAACAGCTCATCTCAAACATGAATTAGCTCCAAAACATCATAACCGAATTAAGTCAATAAAAGCTCATCCAAAGAGATATTAATTCTTTCTTCAATTAACATGCTTGGAGGAACAGATGATAGAAAAAAAAATCATGCTTCCTAAAATGCTGTATATGAGAAAGTAACTTGGCTTTTAAAGAAAATATCTCTTTAAATATGTGAGGTTTAATAAATTACATTCCAATTGACTCAACAGTTTGGTTGACTGCACTGAAATTGTGTAATTACTATGTTTTTGCTCCCAGAAATACTTCAGTTTGCTCAAGAAAATACACACTCTCATGGAAAGTTTTTCAAAGTGATGTCCTCCACATCTTCAAGTCACGTTAAGGCTGAATAAGCGTGCACATATGCCCCAAATTATCACTATAACAGAATATTTTCCAAATGTATTTTTCCTTTAAAAAAAAAAAAAAAATTCACGCAAATAGTTGTCTCTAAGTTCTTGTTCCCAATAGCTCAGTGGTTTTATAACAAGTAAAAATGGTGTAAATATGTAAAAAATATATATATGTGTATATATTTCAAACTGATAGGCACTGAGCACACAGGGCCTCTTTTCCCATGTATGAATTGGTTGTTTGGTTTGGGTAGTTTTTGAATCAGAAAAATGAATTATCTGGCCATCAGAATTAGGGGTAAAATACCCATAAATTTAATGTTATAAATAATTTGGTGTACCAAGAAGCCTACTTTAGGCCACCATAATATTCAGAAACTCAACAAACTAATTAAAAAATTACATGAAAAATTGCAAGCAAATTATTGCTTACAGTAGAATAAAGTCACAATTTTATATCCTCTTTATAGACAGATACATTTTATATAATTTAAAGCAATGACCCTATAGCTGTATTCTTGCACTTCTGCTGTTTTAAGAGGTAAAAAGGAAGAAAATGGTTCTGTTTGTCCCCAGCATGAGTGTGATGCCAGCTTCTAGAGGGAGGACGGTGTACAGACTCAAGAAACGCTCTCATGGAGAAGCTCTGGCCAGACCTGGCACGTACAGCACGATGGCTGTCACCGCAACCAGGGCCGCCAACATGGGCATCCAGGGCCAGGGTTTCTGTGTGGAAAGAAACCAAGAGTCAATATCACATTCTCCCCTCTCTTTTCATACCTATTAACCGCTTGGTTCCAGAGAGTCCTGAATACTTAACAGAATATTGGAAAAAACTTATCTTTGCATTGTAAGAATAAAGTTCAAAAAGAAAAGGAAAAAAAAAAAAAAAGTGAAGGAGTTCAGGTATTGAGGAGAGCCATAATAGCAGGGCCATCATTTGGAAGCCTAATACATCACAGGAAAATCCTGGGCAGTTTCAACTTTGTTACAGTCAAAACTTATTATTGACTTCTAAGAAACCCTCTTGGCTCCACATGCTTTATTTACTCCTGTATCCATACTTAGTATTCCAATATAACTGATGGATATAGATGCCTATAGTATGTTTCTACCTAAAATGTTTATTTCTTGATGAAAACCAGACTCATATGTTGGGATAGTTATAGTATACAAGGGGCTGGTGGCTAAGGTGACAGAAAGAAAATAGCTTTTATCCTCTAACTTTTAACCACAGAAGACAAACTCATATGGGGTTCGAGATGGGGCAGTGCCATGAGGAAACCTGCCTGTTTGATACTTCTGGTAAAGACCTTGTCCAGTGTAATAAAGCCACATGAGCATCTCCTACAGTCTACTAACATGCATGCCAGTTAGAGGTAAGCATGGATGACCTGTTTCCTATTAACTTTCAGAGACCTTTATAATATCAACTTGTTTTAGTTGATACCGTTATTTTTACTAGTGTTCTGAGGGTCTTATTGAGAAAATTGGTTTTTAAAGAAATATCCTGATGTTGCAGATGAGGGCTCAAAGATATGGGATAGGTTTATATTCTCACCAAGTAAGTGCATATTGGGGTTGAGACTGTGACCCAATGGTTCATTATGCTAATCTCATTCTTTCTTATCTTTGCCAGAATGTAAACAGGCAAAAGGCTGAAACAAAGAAACTCTACATTATAGAAAGGAAGAAGAGTAGGGAGAGGGGGAAGAAAGCCAGCTGAAATTTCAAAGAGGCAAACTCTTCATTTCTCATTCAAATCTGATTAAACACATAATTGGGAAGGGGATACTAATATTGCAGAAATTCATAGTTTACTCCAGTTTGCTAGAGATAAAGACTCAGTTAAAGGAAGCATATTAACAACTCGTTAGGTCGGAATTAATTCATGGTTAGCATTATTACAGAGGAAACAAGACAAAATGTTAAGTGATTAGTTGACTATTCCAGTTCATTGGTGTGACACAAATACATGGCATACTAAATGAAGGGTTTGCTTCAGGTAATAAAATACCTGTGTGGTTTTGCCATGCACTATATTACAAATATGGCACAAACAGGTGACGGGGACAAACAGACAAGGACTCAACAGTAGTGCTTGTAGTACCTTTCTCTACCACAATGGACCGAAACACCAAAACAGGAAAGCCAGGAATAGGCCGATGAATACGGCTGGGACGGGTTGTAATATGGAAGGCTAAAGAAGGGAAGGGATATTAAAATCATTTTATGCTATGAAAAAAATCAGGTAAGATGGTTTAGACCCCAGGGGGTTGGGAGGAAAGAAAGGAAGACTGAGGTAACAGAAGTATACCACTCAGGTTTTGCAGTGATTCAAACATCTTAAAGACATCTAACATAATCCAGAATGATAGACTGGTATGTAAGTTGGCAAACTACCAGTTTAAAAGGAACAACTAGAGGTAATGGGTAATGTGGGTGTCCCTAACACCCTAATGAAACGTAGCACTTTAAGACAGAGCAATGATAGTATTTCATCAACTGATGCTCTGCTTGACAGTACAGTATTTTTGTTCTATACCTGGAATCTATTATTTGACTATATACTCCCTTAGCAATGGCTAAAGTTTATTTTATCCCTCCAACAAAACTCTTTTTTTTGGTTTTTTTTTGGAGGGGGTGGGGGGAAGGAATTGGAACCTGTGACCTTGGGGTTATAAGGCTCCTCTCTAACCAACTGAGCTAACTGACCATCCCCCAAACCTTCTTTTTCTTCCCAACCAAAACTCTTTTGCTTATGAGATGGTATTGCTTTCAAGCTTAAAAATAAGTACCCTGTGACAATGCATGCTTCCTAAATCAGGCAAGAAATCTCACACAATATATGATAAACATTTGGTATATAAAAGACAGGTAGCTGAGTTTCAGGGCTTTCAGTTATATAATTAATTTTTAAAATTGGAAAAGAATTACTACAATGAGTGTTATTACAGAATAATATTTTAGTACCATTAAGTCCAATATCACCAAAAAGAAAATTCAACCCTAAGGTAAATTGTTTTCATAACTATAAATAATAACAGCAAGGTTACTTTTGAATAGGTTCTGAATAGTATAAGGGGATCCATTCTGATTATGCTAGATGTCTTCATAGGTTAATTTGGCAGGAAGTGAAGTGAAATTCCATAATCAGAGGGATATGAATTAACAAAAAAGAGAGAAGTAACCAAACCAATATGATCTGATTTTAGAAGAATTATGTAACCTACATTTTCAAAAATAAATGCAGTCCACTTTTGCTTAGCATAAAGCCTTCACAACCAATTCATCAACTTCAAAAAGGCTTCTATCTAAGCAGCAAGCCTTTATTGTCTAAAAACTAAGACTTTCTTTAACTAAGGACAGTTGGACACAATTCATGAGCATTCTGTGTGCAACTGAATAACTGGGTGGCCATGCAACATCACTCTTTTGTACTTGTGCTGCAAGTTAAGCAGAGTGCCTTCCTCCATAGGAAGCATGTGGTTCATGCCCACTGCAGCGTCCAAGCCATGACAGGGGTTTGAAATAAGTCAGAGCACTACCAACCACACTGAACATCCATCAGTTAAAGGGCCCACAAAGGCAATGATCACCAAAACGTACAAAACAACATTTATTTAGCATGACATCTTTTTAAAGACCATCTGCCTTTCTAGCAAATGAAATACAGATATTATTAAACTCAATTTATACCAAAATGTTCTAATCTCTGTCTCTGTCTCTGTCTCTGTCTCTGTCTCTCTCTCTCTCTCTCTCTCTCACACACACACACACACACACACACACTCAAAAAGCCCACAGAAACTCAACAAATACTTCCTAATATTTACAGGATGCCAAAGAGAAACTAAGTATTTCAGGAATGCACCTTAGTGAGAACATTATTAGACTAAATTTCTATTTTTTGATATTGCCGAATGCTAAAAATCAACATGTACTACTCCCTCTTAAATGGGTCCCTGGTGGTAGTGCTTTATTTCTTAGCAGGGGAGAAACAAGTACCAGATGATGGCTTAGTGACAGAACTTCAGACTCATCTAGGAAAACCTAATAGTTCTTAGGTAAGTTGTTTTATTGCAAACAAGGCTCGCAGTCGTCAGGCTCTTCTAAGAGTATAAGTTAAAGGGGCAAATTTTACTCAAAAAAAATTGACAGCACAATGATTCCATTATGGAATCTCAATAATGAAAAGCTTACTTCATTTGTATCAAAGGCCATCAGTTTCCCAAATCAGTAATAAAGTCCTCTGAAAATCAATTTCAACTCTCTCTCCTGTCTCTCAATCAAAGCTAAGCCAAGTTTGCAAAGACTTACATTATTTCCTTTCTCTCGAAGCAGCTTCAGGTTGTCTTTACATTGTTTGAGCTCATCTGTGATTGATTGCTTTTCCTGCTCAGTCATTTCAAACTTCAACTTCAGTTCTGAGAGTACAGTCTGTGTCTTTTCATACTAAAGGCAAAGAAAAAAGAGTGTGCAGACTCAACTTAAAATGGGTATGAAGTTAGGGTTCTAGTCAGGCTTATATACCAGACCCTATTCAGTCACCTGCAATACCAAAGTCTTTTTCTTTTAAAGGGGATAAGAAGTCTTCAATGTTTACTTGATTCTATGCAAGAATTTTCTGGCCCTGGAGTCAAAAAAAAATTAACAGAAGTCACCATTTTGCCACCTGTTTCTCATATAAAGGGTCACTTTTTCCACCAAGTGAGTTATAGAAGAAAAGGAAAGTTTCAAGTTGAGCAAAAAAAAAAAAAAAAAAAAAAAAAAAGGGGAAAAAAAAAA